ATGACGTCCATCATCGAAAATCCGGAATCGTCACCGAGGGAGGTAACACCCCCTTCAGGTGAAAACGCAAGCACCGGAAATGATGGCACTGTATTTAACTTTGGCAGTGGTCGCGGAAACGATGCGGTTCTTACGCGATTCGAATACCACGGGCCACGCAGCACGCCCCAAACCAAGAAAAAGAAAAGAGATCAAGAGGATATGGAGCGCTCCCCAGAGATTGGCAACGTCGGTCGTCAATTAATGCCTCTCCTCGAAGATATGGTTTCCAAGGCGGTCAGCAAAGCCCTCAAGAATAAATTCGAAGACAACGCAGACGAACTTAGCCACTCTCTCACACAACAAATGTCGCAAGTCCTTTCAGGATTTAAAGATACTGTCCTTGGAGCAGTCGAAAAGGTCACAAGAGAGGTAAACGAGCTGAAGGAATCGAGAGACGTGCAAATGAACGGCGTATCACCTGCCCCGCCAGGCTTCACATACGCGCAAGCACTCTCCCAATCCCCCCAAGCTGAATCTCCACTCTACTCCCGCCAGGATCTCATGATCACCCTCCATCAGATTGACCCTAGGAAACCAGTCCTAGCAGAGGCAAACTGTAGACCACTCTCAATCAAGAAGGCAATGGACGACTCCATCAAAAACACAGTCGGCGACCAATTGGACATCGAGAGCAACTACATCACGTCAGCTAAACGTCTTCCTACCCACACGATCAAACTCCAAGCTCAAAACAAAGACGCCGCTGAGAAATTAAAGAAAGACCCCAGATGGGTTCCGCAAGGACTACGTCTGCACGCAACAACTCACGAAGTTGCTGTCCTGAGAGTACCTGTGTTGACCAACCAAGAACCAATGGATATAGCGCACGAAATCATGAGAGACAACGAATTCCTCTTACAAGACCAAATTGTCTACGCAAAATGGGCGAAAAGACAAGCACACAAGCAAAAGTTCGCAACACTCAAAATTCAACTGAAAGACGAAACAACAGCAAAAATGGCTGTCAACATAGGGCTATCTCTCAATGCTGAGCACCTGCTCGTTGA